TAGAATATATATATGTGAGGGGTAGAATATATGTATGTGAGAGGTAGAATATATATATGTGAGGGGTAGAATATGTATGTGAGAGGTAGAACATGTGTATGTGAGAGGTAGAATATATATATATATGTGAGGGGTAGAATATATGTATTTGAGAGGTAGAACATATGTATCTGAGAGGTAGAATATATATATATGTGAGGGGTAGAATATTTGTATGTGAGAGGTGGAATATATGTATGTGAGAGGTAGAATATATGTATGTGAGAGGTAGAATATATATGTATGTGAGAGGTAGAACATATGTTTGTGAGAGGTAGAACATATGTATGTGAGAGGTAGAATATATATGTATGTGAGAGGTAGAATATATATGTATGTGAGGGGTAGAATATTTGTATATGAGGGGTAGAATATATGCATGTGAGAGGTAGAATATATATGTATGTGAGAGGTAGAACATATGTATGTGAGAGGTAGAATATATATGTATGTGAGAGGTAGAATATATGTATGTGAGGGGTAGAATATATGTATGTGAGAGGTAGAATATATATGTATGTGAGGGGTAGAATATATGTATGTGAGAGGTAGAATATATATGTATGTGAGAGGTAGAACATATGTATGTGAGGGGTAGAATATATGTATGTGAGAGGTAGAATATATATGTATGTGAGAGGTAGAATATTTGTATGTGAGGGGTAGAATATATGTATGTGAGAGGTAGAATATTTGTATGTGAGGGGTAGAATATATATGTATGTGAGAGGTAGATTACATGTATGTGAGAGGTAGATTATATATGTATGTGAGAGGTAGAACATATGTATGTGAGAGGTAGAATATATGTATGTGAGAGGTAGAATACATATGTATTTGAGAGGTAGATCATATGTATGTGAGAGGTAGAACATATGTATGTGAGAGGTAGAATATATATATGTGAGGGGTAGAATATATGTATGTGAGAGGTAGAATATATATATGTGAGGGGTAGAATATA